ACAGGGGCGTGGTTCCCATACATGATGTTGTACCGAGTGAATTGACTGAAAGGGAACACATTCTTCACTCATTAGAATACTCAGATACATTTCCAAACATCCTTAAGTTTTGCGCTTATGAGAGTGAAAGTTTGTTTTCAGAATATTTTCAACTCCACACACATTCACCTCAACATAAGTTTACATTTTGTCCAACTTACCACCTCTTTCTTTGGATTTTAATACCCCAGGCTTTACTAAGTGAGATGAAAAATGCAAATGTGTAATGGGGGCCACGGGGCTCAAGTGTGCGGGACTACTGTGCTTTGAGTCAACACCATCTGGCCAACATCTTTCACTCATCAATAAAGAGCAAACCTAGAACTACTCACATACACTCAGAAGTCAAGCCCACTTATATCAAAACTTCTCAGGATGGGTGTTAACTACGGTGCTAGAACATACCCATGAAAACAGCTGACAATGATTCACAACATGACACTCAGCAATGCTGCAAGTGAAGACAAAGCTAAAGTATCTATTAGGTACCTATGTATTTTACACAGCATGTGGATTATACAGGTTTTGTGTAACTCAGTTGTATGTTCATAGGAGAGGGATTGTGGTGGAAATTCAAAAGTGCTTGATGAAGTTGAACTGACTTATATCAAAGATGATAACAGCCAAGTAATAAAATGTTATTGTTTGAGTATTCAAAATTCAGTACATACATATATGTAAGTTAGTAGTAGAAATGCACATAAAAAACACAAATTTGTAAGTTTTTTACTTACTATCAAAAGCTATCTCATGGAATTTTCTGTAAAACTTCTTAAAAGTTTCAAAGGATTTTTTTATGTTTAAAGATRAACTTTTTGTTTGATGTCCTATCTGACAGTATGATCATTTCTTTTCTTTTTTTTTACCCAGATTTAGGGAAGCTCAGCTATCAGCAGTCCAGATATGGCAATTTTAGACACAGACAGGCGTAAAATCCTTTGTTACACCTCCAGTCCTTGGTCTGTAACAACAATTGATTATGACAGCTTAGACTGGTTAAATGCTGCGTGACAAATTAACTATCTCATATACAGCCACAACTCAAATTGAAGAGGTCCATGTCTTGTCCGCAGCTGCCCTATCATCACATTTTATTTATTTAGCTTTCCATTTGGTCCCACTTGACTTTAATCATTGATGACTGAATTTACATTGATGGCAAATTGTCACTGTAAATCCTTTGACTGTTTAATTTCCTTTTTATTTTGAGCTAATAAAAGTTAATTTATCATTATCTTGGTGGCAAGATTTATTTCGGGGCAATGGATAATGTTAAACTTATTTTTGGTGATGACATTGATTTAATTAAAAATCCACAATGCTAATTATCGCCTTTCTCCAGAATGACCCATATTCTGTGATAAAACTGCTGTCAAATCAGATTTTTGTGTGTTAAATCGAATCCTTAGCGAGGAGTGTCCATGCAGTTATTTGAAAATAATCTGTGATATTAAATATAATTTTATGTGATAACATTATGGACACCAGACTGGTGGCAGCTTCACACCTGATGCATATTTGGTGCATCGCTGAACTGATTCATTATTGTCTGCATTTATTTATTCACTTCACAGCCTGCCTGTAGCTGTGCTGTGGAGATCCAGTTACACTCTGCGTAATCTTTTTACATTTTAAGCAATTGCCATAAATACTGTGTTATGTGGAAATTACTTCCTAATTAAACATGAAAAGTCCAATACCTCCACTTGGAATCTATTCTGAAACGAGTATTATTACCAGTATTAAGTCCATACATTGACCGACACAATATATGTTTGCAAGCAGCTGTCTCCGTAAAGTTTACCTCAAGCAGAAAATGTGGGCAGTTTGTCAGAAATCTAGATGACACACAGTTTATTGCTATATGGAGCTGCACCTAAGATGTTTTTGTTATGCAGAAGGTGCGCGTGCTGTAATCTGTAAATATGGGAGGGAAAATGAAAATTTATGATCCACACACACAGCACTCAGACTGCACAGCTGGTGTGAAGCTCGCTTGAGAGGCTGCGCAAAAAATAAAAAAAATAAAAAAATTTAAAAAACCAATAAATCGAGGCGCTCGGCTTAAAATCATCAAAAGTTTTAAGATCAATCCCATGAGCTCTTTGGTGATGGTGTCTTACTCTTGGCTTCTTTGTTTTGGTAAATTGGGTAAAAAAAAGATGACTTCTTTAGAAACTTTTAGGATAAACTCCATTTGCTAGTTATTGTTTAGCAGAAAGTGATGGTACAGATGAACTGTAAGTTTGAGTCTAAGAATCTGGATTAACACACAACATACTTGGGATGTCAAACTTGGGATTATTTTTTATCATAGCAGTACATGTTATCAGCTGAGTTAAGATCTAACAGAACTGAACAAGCAACAGGCATTTGGAAATATACCAGAGCAAGATTTGCTTTTTCAGAGGTTTTGGGTTGGTTCTTTTTTACAAGGATTCAAAAGGAGAGAAAGGGCAGAGATGTTCACAGGCCTTTTAGCCTCAAGTCTATTCTTGAGTAGTGTGCTTCGAAAAGATTCCCACGCATAAGAAATTGGGGGCGGATCCACGTTTACTGTCAGGGTTTCATGCTTTCATGCTGAGTTACCATGTTTTGCCAGACTTCATGCTCAGTGAACTTTATGCAGCATTGCCTGGGATCTGCCGAGCCAAGTACATAAACTGACAGCCTTTGATGCATCAGTGCCCAAACCCACACTTATTCTCTTTTTGTATTCCTGTGCCTTCATGGTTTTATATTCCTTTAGATGTGGGGATCCCACCTCTTTTCCCCTGCTTTCAAAGTATGACAAATAATTCATCAATGATTGTTGCTTGTCTCCAAGCATGGGTGGTGGGTGTTGCAAGCCAGCAGATTTTAAAGTGTGGGCTTCTTCTTTACAGGAAGAATCACTGTAGTAAACAGTAATGTAAGTTGTTAAGAAAATACGTCTCATCAGTTTTTATTTCTCGTCTTGTGTTGTGTGTGCCTCGGGCAATAAAACTGCCGTAAAAGCTGTAAAATCATGATTTATCAGTGCAGTGGGTATATATTTTGGATAATTTACAAATGCAGGAAGATGTTTTCACAATAATTTTATTCACATTTTCATTCAGACATTCAATCATCTGCTTCACTATCTCTCTGAACACTGAATGTTAATTTCTACAGCTGTGATAGGAATTTCAAATTGATAGCCATATGCTTTTTTTTTATCATTGTTTGGCAGACTTTTCATAATTTCAGCTCTCTTGTGAATTTTCTCAAAATTGACCATGTGTTTGTTGGTCACCACACATCTGTCATTCTGATTTGTAGGACCATTAGTACACAAACATGCATGCATACGCTCAAACTGTTTTCATTAATGTCACAAGTAACATATCTGTGTCACTTTTGTCCTTTTCCAGTGTGATCCAGGACAAGTTTTGTGGCATCATCAACATTTGTGTTGAAGCGTTGCATGATGTGATGACAGATGATTCAGAAACTGGCACTTTTAAAGAGTAAGTGTTAATGCTGTCTTTTCCTCTCTAATAATCATGATGAGAAAACAAAGAGAAGTGTGTTTGTATTTGTCAAAGAATTTAAATCGTGACATCATTAAAGACCGAAATGGAAAATGTTGTTTTTAAATTCTAATGGACTTCTTCTGCAGGTAATGTTCTCTAATGATGTATTGTTAAATTCCCATATTACATTTATGAAAACAGAGCATGTTTTTATATTAGATGATGCACCTCAATACAGTATGAGAACAAAAAAACTTTATTTTCTTAGTTCTGCATCCTAAGGGCACAGCAGTAAAAAGGGTGACTTTCCTGACTGTAGTCACATCACCAGTCTGTCTCTGAACACAGCAGACCACAGGATTGTGTCTGTAATAAAGTGGTGAAACCAGTTTTACACATTATTATCTACGTCTTGCTTTCTAATAGGTTTGTAATTTATTATTTATGCTTTACTCTGCTGTATCACACATCACAGTTAGATGGCCATAACATTGTGCCTATAGTTAAATGTGAGAGAGATACGCAGTGCAAGTTTCATTACTTGGCTTTATGGCAGCCGAAATGGTTTAATATGGCTGTGCAACTTTATTGCTCCCATGGGACTGAAAAACCTTTACGTTTATGTGGGCTGCAATCTCTTGATTTTAATATTAGGTGGCATTTGATTGGTACAGATTTGTCTTTATTCACATTACAATACATTTCAGAGTTAAGACATTTTTAATGTCGCTAAGGGAAATATTTCTGGAAAAAAATGTTGTTTGGTTAAGCCTGCCAAAACACCAGCTTATTATGTTCAGTGATACGGATGACAGCCCTCATTTTGTCTCATACTCCATGATACAAAACTCTATCCCTACATTGAAGCGTAATGGAGAGAGCATCATGACTTTTGGCTACCCTGAGAGAATAATAAAATATTTGTTGAAAAAGGCTTTCAGGGGGAAAGTCGGGATTGACGTTTATGACCTTGAACTTAATAATAGACTTGTAGAGTTAAAACATTTTGACTGGTCAGTGAAACTACAACAATTACCTCATTTTCCTTCCCACTAATACTTAAAGTGATGCTTTAAGAAAAGAACCAAAAGCATACAATTTAATTAGCAAATCTAAAGAGGGATCCTTAATGAAGAAAGGGAAGTTTGATTAAGTTGAAAAACTTTGTTAAAATGAATAACCCCAAACATTTTATTATTATATGTCCAAGCTTCAGAAGCAACAATAAATATATAATGAAGACGTTGATGAAACCAGATATTTCCTGTGGGAAAATAGAGAAGCCATTTATTTTCCAAGAATGTTTGTGATTGGCTGTTCAGTTTATACAATTAAAGCAACAAAAAAATGGAGACATATAATGTTTTTTAATT